CTCAGTAAAAATATTGGGTGTGTAACAGACTCTTATTACAGCACACGTTCTGACACGTCAGAGCAGAAAAAGGATAATCAACAAAATGAAACTAGAATTATGCAATTTAAGACTGCTGGTTACTTGTGGTTCCAAATTTAAAGATATAATGGGAGGCAGAGCCTTCAGGCTAAAGGTTATTCAACAAGAAACACACCCTTCCTGATTTTGTTTGTTTTTTGCATATTTGTCGCATTTAAATCACCAGAAATTGCATATTAGACAAAGATAATCTGAATAAATACAAAATAAAGGGAATAATTTACAAAGGGAAAGTTTATACAAACCATCCTGGCCCTATCTGAAAAAGTAATGGTAATGGAGTGATTCTTATATAGCGCTTTTCTACTCTCCCGGAGTACTCAAAGCGCTCTATAGAACATGCTAAATTCACCCAGTCTAACTTTCTTAGTGCTTCCTAACTGCCATTCATACTCCGATGAATGCATCGGAGAGCAATTTGGGGTTAGTATCTTCCCCAAGGATACTTGGCATGCAGAGGAGCCAGGGATTGAACCACTGCTCTACCTTCTAAACTACAGCCACCTCAATTGCCCCCTCTTTCTAAATAATGAATTAACTCTGATTAACCTCTGTTTTTTTAAAAGTTGAGTTAATTTTAATTGCCACAGCAAGGCCTCATTACTCCCAGAACTGTTGAAGACATTGCTTAAATAAAGCGTGTCTGGAAAAATTCTGTAAAGGGTTAATCAAAGTATTTCAAAGGCTAAAACCTGGAACAGAAGTGAACCTTTCCAGGAACCTACCAAATTAGTTCAGTCCAGGAGGTCGCAACTCTAAAGAGCTGCAGGCCTCACGTTCCACAGTCAAGCTCAGAGTTTATGATTCAAGAATAAGAAAGTGACTGTGCAAACATGGGATCCATAGGAATCTATGGATGCCTGGTTCCAAACACTTCTAACCAAAAGGAACACAAAGGCTCTTGACATCTTGATGATCCCCAAGGAAGGTTTTCACAAAGGCCAAGATAGAATTGAAAAGCTTTTTTCCCCTTTAATAAATGAAATGATAATTTAAAGAACTACATTTTGCATTTACATGAATATCTTGTCTAATATGAACATTTGTTTGATGATCTGAAAACATGTAAATGTGACAAATATCCAAATAAATAAATAAATCAGGAAGGGGGCAAATACTTTTCAAAATCACTTTGACTGCATTGGCACAGGGTCATAAAACTAACACCAATCCAAATTTTACAATCAGTTTTAGGAAATCCTTCTGACATCTCTTGTCTGATTATATTATTACAATTAAAATGATATTTTATAATAATAAGCTAATGTTCAGTGCTGCACAGACCCTAATGGCTCTACAGGCTCACTACATACAGAGGGAATTTACATTTACCTTTATTTCTTACAGAAAGGCTTACGGTGTGTAATTATGTGCTTCCTGATAATTTAGAGGATGTTATCCATAACCAAACCAAAAGTAAAGGAAACATATGTCAGCAAAACCTGGAAAAAAATACACAAAAAATACAGGGAAGTCCTGACGTTTTTGTAAGAGTAACAGTAATCCAATCATATGTGTTCACACATCTACAGTATGGATTCATTACATGTAACATTCATTACATTGGAGTTGCTAAAAAGTAAAATATTGTACTTTTAACAGCAATATGACATCAGAAGGGCTCAAATATAGGGCTCAGAAAAAACAGCAGTACCTCCCTAAAGATACACGAACAGCATGTTAACATGGATTTATTGTCTTTCCAGTTTCATATATATGTTTTGTATATGTTTTAGTTAAAATGTCTGCATCTAACACATAAATGTACTGAATTTCACACTTTGCTGATAAAGTGCATGGAAAGAGAGGCAGAACCTTCACAGATGAAGATGAATTGGTAGATTTATTATTGTTGTTCAGGGGAGTCAAGATTGAGCAGGGTTGGTAAACTTGAAATCACACCACTTAATCCCCTATAGCCAAATTTCTTGCATGAATGTGGTCTCGCTATTTTATTTAATTACATTTCTGTATCCACTGAATCTTTTACAAGTTAATATTAATTATATTTAGTTGCTTTGACCCTGTTGGTTGTTTGCTATGACTCTTCCTCTCTCTGGAGTCACACATTTGCACTTCCCTTTTTGGCACAATGCCTCTTATGCAAAGCTCAACTTTAAAACTCTAGCCTTAACCTAAACCTGATCCTTAGACTCAATTTGAACTCTCACCCAGCTTTTTGAACCTCTGTCCGCAAGCGAGGACTGGGATGTTCTCGTTTTCCAAAAATATCCTCCGCCTCATGCTCAGAAACTCAAATCGGTCCTCACAAAGATGGACACACAAGTACACACACATACCATATGCCACAATTTTGGCATCATCCTTGGTAATAAACGGGACTAAATGGAGGCAAGGTTGAAGCGTAGGAGGGCTGGCTGAAGTGTGTCTTTGTGTATATATATGTGCATGTCTCCTAGCAACCAGTACCCTTCACTCTCAGTCTGCAGTGAGCCGACAGAACATTATCAAGCTGCAGATGCAACAGGTGCACTGTAAAACATGCTGCTGGAATGAGGTAGAGAAGACTTTGCCATGATTAATTTCAAGTTAATACAAATTGAATCCTTTAGTTTTAAAATTAAAATGAGCATATCTTCCTATTTTCTCTGAACCAGTCAGTCTCTGTCATCTATTTTCAAAATGTCACAAAAATATTCCTACTGGATCAATTACTGAATGTCATTCGGTAATTGAGCTGTTAGGAGCATCATTACCTGGATTTGCTACAAATTCAAGTAAAATTCGCAACGATATCTGGCAAAGTTAAGGTGTCATGCTGCATCACATCCTCTGCCCATCAGTCCAACACAGTGCTTTACTGTAGGGTGACCCCAGTCCAACAAGCTCACCTGTTTGTTCTGCACTAATATGTTGAGAGCTTGAATAACACAAAGTTAGTATACTTATCTTTGTTTTGCAGTGAGCAGTACTGAGCTGAACATTATGCTCACTTCTCTTCTGTAATGCTAGCTAGATGCTGAAGCACCGCAACCACAGCCTATGGACATCTTCACCAAAAATACTTGGCTCATTCCAGCCCAGTTAAACCCCTGAGCATAGAGCTATGAATGATGTATAAATTATATGGTTTTGCCTCTTTCATCACTTTACATTTGATAAGCCACCACGATGGATATGCCATCCCATCATTTAGGCTCAGTTTGATGTTCAAAGACATGCAGCGCTCTGAAATAAAAACGTCCTTCAAATGTATTAAACCTGAAATAAAGAGCCTGTTTGGGAAATGTAAGGAGTTGAAAGTACTGATATTTAAAAAGAAAAATAAATACTGGAGTAAAGTGCAGATATCTAAAAATTTCAGTACAGTACTAAAGTATTTGTACTTCCTTAATTCCCACCTCTGTATTCCAGCATGTGCATATTTAGTAGTTCAGCTACTCACCACCTGATCCTGTTGTAATTTACCTCAAACTGTAATGTTTGTTTAACCCTGAACAAGTGATTTTGATGCGTAAGTAAGACTCACACACCACTCTACAACTCCGACCTCTCTGTCATGGTTGAGGTAAGTAACTCCACAGTAGGACATTTACAATATTATTCATAGTCTAACAAGCATAGACACTACTGTGGTTCTGTCCCCAGTCTGTTCTCAGACCTATTGTTTAGTCAACTACTACTACTTTCTATAGCTCATAAAATAAAAACAGGGGGAAAAGGTGACTAAAATGATCAAATTCATTTTTCACATCATTTTCTTAGGTTCTGTTAACATTTTACAAATTCCTATTAAATGTGTTTTTATGTTAATATTTTAGGTTTTTAAGCAGGAGGGTATCTCGCATTTTTATTAAATAGAGAAGTAAGAGTCTGTCAAAATTCAATAAAAAAAATATTATTTAGTCAGTCCATCCATCCATTCTTCCATTCTCTTCCACTTATCCTTTCTTTTTTGGGGCGGGGTTGTCTTAAGGCGAGAGGCAGGGTACACCCTGGACAGGTCATTTAAATTCAGTTTTATTTATATAGCATGAAATCACACTAACCATCACACTTTATATTGTAAGGTAAAGACCCCACAATAACACAAAGAAAATGAATGCATCCTTACTTTGTTCTTCACCAAGTCTATTTTTTAAATTGTATTCTATTTATTCCCTCCTGTCTGCGGAGACTGCAATCCATTAGATTTAGGTGGACAAAATTAAATTGTTTCCAGTGGCAATAATCTCTGTCTTGATTAAAGAAAATCACAGACAAAATTATGTTACATGAAAACAGATTAACTTTATTACAAATTCCTGGTACAGTCTGCCTATGCTTTTCTGCACTGCAAACCAAAAAAGAGGCTGCATACAAGAAGCAAAATTACATTTTAAAAAAGAATCTGCTCCTGAGTTAACTGCTTGACCCACGTTTGCAACCACATTAAACATCCTACATAATTAATCTAATCGTAAAAAGCCATCTCAACATTACTGGGAATTAATGGGTCTACGGCAAAATGGCAAGCCCAGACAATAACCTGATTGCCCGACACTTACCCGAATCAAACCAAAGTGGGGAGAGTTTCAACCTGTGTTTTGCCTTCTCTGCACTTTACTAAAGTCACCCTAACCCCCCACCCCCACCCCATATATCCATATTAGGGTAACAAATGCCATGTCAGCAAAAGACAAACTCAAGAGGTAATATTTCACTAGTTTTAGATTAGTATATCCAAAAATCTATTTCTCAACCATAACTGCATATATCGTTAAGAAATTAGTAGTTGAATACAGTAATAATTACTGGGACAGTAGATGAAGAGAGGATAGACGGACTGGAGACAGAATTTGGGGTTTTGAAAATCTGCAAATATCTGGATTTACATATGTGAACAGAACGCACAGTCTCATCAGCTTCTGAAGTCTAAACCTCTCCATTCATCCATCATTCATCCACCATCCCTCAGTCCAGGACATTTCCCTCTCTCCTCTCCTTTCCTTTACTCCCCTCCTCCTCCTCTCCAGCCACTGTTGACGTCCATGGCTCTGTCACCCGCATCACCGGTTTCCACGCTGCTCTCTGGTCCAGTCATGTAGTCATTATGGCTCTTCTAATTGCCTCTGTGTTCACACCCGCGCTGTTTGTCTTCTCGCGGCTCCCTTTCTTTTTTCAGTTAGTTTTATTTTAGTTAATCAGTCGTCTTTTTTGTCGGAAACTCTTTTTATCCTCTTGCACTTTTCTGACGCTTTGGGGAGTTCCGTGCGTCCGAGCCTCTCGCACCTCTCCACGGTTTAAATCCCTCCTCTGGCTGCTCCACCTGGACGTGTCGCTAATTTCCCTATTAATTCACCCGTGCGGTCGTTTCACGTCGTCGTGACTCCTAATTGTTTTTTGGCAGAGTTAGAAACCGGTGGTGAAAAGGCTCATATGAGTGCGCCTCCGCTGATCCGTGCGCCCAGCCCTCTCCCGTTCTCAGGGGGCACAAACAACACCAACACCGGCGCTGGGGGAGGGGGTGGTGGTGGTGGTGTAGGAGGAGGAGGAGGAGGTGGTGGTGTGATCTCCTTCCACATCCAGATCGGTCTGAGCCGGGAGCCCGTGCTGCTGGATGCCGCGGAGTTCAGCCTCAGTCAGGTCCGGGAGGTGGCGTGCTCCATCGTGGACCAAAAGGTAACTAAAGAGTTTAAACCAAGTTCTAAAATCAAGTTCTAAAATCCTCTAAGTCCTGACAGAGTAATCATAATGTAAAGAAGTTACATTGGCGACATAAATCTTTCACCGGTTTAAAATTCATTATAGACCATAAACACAGATATTTTCATTTCACGCTTTTCGTCTCTCTGATCTACTTTAAACTTGCCAAGTGTTTTGTTGAGGACCAAAGGAAGTGCAATAAGGAGTTTGGATTTTTCAGTGGGTTTCTTATTTGGGGGTTTCGTGACCTCACAGATGATGTCACAGTCCTCTCTGACCCAGTATATATTTTAGTTTTTTTTTAAAAAAAGGGAAGTTGACACTGCACTACAGTATTTAAAACCAATGTGATCTACAGATTATAATTTTTTCTTGAATTTTTAAACACTTTCTGGTTTGGTTTTCTTCCCTCAATAAAACAAACAAACAAAAACATTTGAAGGTTAATGTTGTAGGTTATTGTTTGTTTTAGTTTATTTTTTAATTGGGGGTGTCAGACATATATTAATCAAATTGACCCGCAACTGTATCATGCTGCTGAGTGACTGCTGCTCGTCAAACACATTTCATTGCAATGTTGACCCTGTGCTAACTTGCATATGACAAATAAAACTGAAAACTGGGTACAAACCAGCCACTGGATTACTTTGCAAAATAGGAAGTCATCAATAATGAGTAGTCAGCCATCAATTGTGGGAAGACATCCATTTCTTAAATAAAATGCATTGCTATTCTTGGCACAGTGGTGCCAGCTTTCAGAACTACATAGAGGTCAGACTCAAAAGAGAGATTTATCTCACATGTGTCAGATTTAAAAGGATTATTGAACAAGTTGTTGAATAGTTCTGGGAACTGGAGAGTAGTTCAGAAAGGGATACTGGTTATCAGAACACAAGAGTGTTATTTCTGGCTAATCTTAATATCAGAAGAATCTTGTGAAGCAATGGAATTGCTTTACTTGTGGATTATCTGGACATGAATCATAGAGGAGGTTATAAGTTACAGACAAGTATCCAGCAAGAAGAGACAAGTGGTGGTGGAGAGTGGGAAGGCAGGTCAGTGGGGTTGGAGGCTTGAGTGGAACTCACTGGGAATACAGGTAAGTCAGAAATCACATCCACAGAGTGAGACTGTGGGTGGTGTAACAATCTGTTGTCCTTCCTGGATGATGAGGAAATTCAGAACAGGTGTCGAAGGCAGAGAGAGTCATGCCCAAGGGTAGACCAAGGGAAACATTTACTCATCAATCCTGTATCAAGAAAAAGGATTAAAAAGTGAGTGAGATGAGCAGGGAAGGGCATTAATAAGAATTTACCAATTCCGATTCCGTTATAGATATCACTTATTGATTTAATTCTTTTACTGATTCTTATTAGGTTCTCTTTGGCTTTTAGACTCGCCACCATCGCTGAGCAGCATATCAAAGGCATTACAGTCATGCAGATTAATCGCGTGCTGTGTAGTCAAATGTTTGTGCATGTTGGAGGTATTTCTCGTTTTTGTTGTGATCAGTGTTGGGCTCATTATTCAACAAAGTAATGTGTTACACATTACACAGGCAGAGCATTCACATTCCCAACGCTTAACATACCGACGATATGTCACGGCCCAAGGCGTGTCATAGTAACGCGAAAGCTACCCCTCCGTGTCCTTATGAAACGCTCCAGATTCCTAATTGAAGTGAATAGAAAGCTGCTTCGTGGCTTTCTATGTGCTTCCTTTTTATTCTCTTGCCAGCTTTCTATTGCAACCCTAACCCTAACCATAATCTTAAATTTATAGATTTATTCCAACCTGCTCTCATGCCTCAGAACGCGCAACATGCTGATGATTTGTCACATAGCGTCTGTATGTTACGTGTTGGGATGAAAACGTGTTGACACAGAACAGTTTTCTTAAAAGTAATTCAAAATATTAATTAATTCCAGGAGAAAGTTGTTACACTACTGGTTACATTGAAATGAACTAAAACACATTGTCTCATAATTACAATTAAACATAGTCTACACTACCACATATCAGCACAAATCTCTGTCCTAGCAAGGACACACATACATGATTTTTCTCTTAGTATTTAGGTATGAAAACAAAACCAACAACACAAAGCAAACATGAAAACCAGCACAAAGATACTTTAAAACGATCGCTATGGTGACTCTATATTAGAAACAAGAACAGGTAGAAATGGAGGCAGCAGTCTGACTGCTCATCACTTCTTGTTCTTTCTTTTTTCCTGTAGAAGTTCAGGGTCTGGCTGCTGAGTTGGCTTTCACTCAGCTTCAACATAGCTCTTGGCTAGTTTACCAATACAGTAGCACGTTGTTTATGCTTGCAAAGAGCCAAAGTTATGTTACCAGCATAATGCAATTGTTTCTGTCCTGGATGTAAAAATAAAAGTCATGTTCATATGCAGGTGTTTCACCTCACTGTTTTTGCACTTTTTGTAAAGTAACTTTTTGAAACTGAGAACTCAGTTTTACCCTTTGAAAATACCTTCAAAACTTATAGATGATGGTGCAACTGTGAAGGGCTTGAGAGAGTCAGAAAAAAATACAATGTCATCATAAAAAAATTTACTCTGTACCAGTTATTCAGCAGCATAGACCAGAACCTTAAATCTGAGTCACAACCCTTACCTAATGAGACTGAATCAAGCAAATACCAAAAGACTGAATATTGAAAAGGCAATCTCTAAATGACGGAACAGGGATTTTAATTTGAGAATAGAAGCTGGAATTCTTGAACTGAGGATCAATTAGAAGAAATCATCCAAGAGGTAACTTTATTCAACACAATCCATCAGAGAGCTTCAAAGACTAGGTTGAAAATGACTTCTTTTACACCTGAACATTAAAGTAACAGCAAAGTAACATTT